GTGGGTCCCGCCCCCCCAACTTTCCAGCCAGTAGCATGGGGTTCCTCCTGCTTTTTGCAGGAGTGGGAGCGGGTGCGGGGGCCTGGGGAAGACGTTCAAGAGGCTGCAACGTGGCCCTACCATGGCTCCCCGCTCTGCCCCTGCCCCATGGGACCCCCCACCCGGCAGGAGCCTCTGCGCCCCTTATGCATGGACATGCAGGCCCCCCCAAAGACACCCCTAGCTGGGGGTTGGGCAGCCTTAGCCCTCTGTGAGGGGCACTGCCAGCCCCACATATGGGCCCCCACCGAGCTCCCAGCCAGGGGCGTGGGCCAGTCCAGACGTCCCAAGTGTTCAGTGCCAGTCCCGGTGCCCCATGGATTTCCTGGGTGCCTGGGGCATATGCCAGTCTGTGATCTCCATGAATTTCCTAGGTGCCCGCAGGGCACGTGCCAGTCAAGATGCCCCTGGTGCTCAGTGGGGGCCAGTCCGGGTGCCTGGCGGCACGTGCCAGGCCAGGGTATTTCTGTTGCTGTGGGCTCTGATGGGAACTAGAGGGGATCTTCCATCTCTGCTGGGAGCTTAGGGGCCCCCCGGCCATGCCCCCTGGGGAAGTCCAGCTCCCGCTTAGTCGCTGTGGCTGCAGGCCGCCTTGCGCTCCCGGGGCCGGCAGAAGGCCCGGTAGAAGCCCCGGACGATCTTGTACATCCAGACCAGGTTGAGGACCTCCAGGGCTAGGCTGGGCACGATCCAGGCCACCTGCACGGCGAGCCCCAGGCGGGCGTACTCGGGCGTGCCGTACCAGGCCAGCACGCGGGCGTAGTAGCTGGGGATGACGGCGATGCGTACCAGGAAGAAGACCACGGTCATGGCCAGGCCATTGGCCAAGACGAACCAGGAGGAGCGGGGCTGCCCCACGGTGTCAAAGAACCACCTGGGCCACAACAAAGGAGCGCGGTCACTTTAAACAGCCCCAGGCCCTGCCCCCTCCAGCTCCTGGCATCACATGATCACATCAGTGCTCTCATTAAGCCGGAGGGGTAACTGATGCTGCCTGAGTTTGCAGAGAGCCTGAGCCAATTGCCCAGCCCGGGTGGGGGGTGGAAGCTGCCCTTATGCAAGTCAAAGGGGTGTTAACTCCCAGCCCCACTGATCTAGGGTCACTGCCTGCCCTACCCTTCAGCCCACCTCCCCACACCGTCTGCATCCCAGCATCCTCTGGGGTAGCGGCAACATCCCCATCCCCCAGCGCCTCGGGAAAATTTGAAGCCGTGTCCCACTGGGATGCTCAGGCACCTTAGAGCCCCCCCAACTCCAGCCCCTGCCCAGCTCCCCCCAGCCCCCGACTCACCGCAGGTTGACGAATGGGGTGGAGAGCTCGGACAGGAGGCGGAAGTTGGCGAAATAGGGCAGCACCCCTCGGCTCTGGGGGAGAGAGAGGCCGTTAATCCCCTGCCCCAAGGGGCTCACGGGGGGGGGACATCCCCCCCCACAGAGGGAAGGGGATGGATCCTCCACCCCAGGCCTGCTCGGGGACCACCCCAGAGACGGCGGGTGGGGGGGGGCCTGAGCTGGGCCCCAGCAGGAAGAAAGGGAGGAAAAGAGCATAGCGGGGGGGAGGGAGGGTGTCGCTGGACTAACAGACCCCAAGGCAGAGTCACTTCCCTGAGGACCAAGACACATGAGCAGAGTTCATCCTGCCCCCCCAGCAGCTCTGCCGGTGCCCCTCACTCCCGACCCACAGCCCCCTGCTAGCCCAGCCCTGGGATCCCGCCCCCCAGCCCTGCCGGTGCCCCTCACTCCCGACCCGCAGCCCCCTGCTAGCCCAGCCCTGGACTCCCTCTCGCCGCACTGCCGGTGCCCCTCACTCCCGACCCGCAGCCCCCTGATGTGACTTGAAACGGGGGTGGGGAGTGGATGCTAGCTGGGTTTTAAGGGGGGATTGAAGCTGAATTTGGAGCCTGGATGGAGCCAGCCGCTGCCCTCGGCGCGGGGGCAAAGGAGGTAGCTGGGGGGGGGGGCGTGCAGAGGGAGCACAGAGGGAGCAGAGATCTGGGGGGCAGGGACCGGGGAGGGAGCCTGTCCCAGAGCGCCCGGCCGGGCCTGGCACTGACCAGCACGTAGCCGTAGGCGTACAGCGCCACCAAGTGGTGGCAAACGAACAGGGAGTCGCCCAGCGTCTTCCAATAGCGCAGAAGCAGCAGCAAATCTGGAATTGGAACACAGAGCGAGGGGTTTGAATGGGGGGAGGGGGCACGGGGGGACGGGTCAGTGTGCTGGGGGGCACGGGGGGGGGCGCTGGGTCAGGCTGAGCAATGGGGAAATGCACAAACACACACACAGCCCCCCCCACTCTCCCCACATCCCCCCTCCCGCACGCCGGGCACCTCCCGCCCCGTCCCTCGGAGCGGGGCCCATAGCCGGTGGGCGTCCCCTGGCTGGAGTCAGCCCTTCGGGGCTCTACAAACCATTCGCTGCCTGGGAGACCCTCCCCCTGGGCCGGGCACCTGGATTTCTCCTGGAGCTTCCATCTATCCCTTAGACCCTCAGCTTTGGGGGGGGACAAACAGCTCCCACTCGGGTGGGGTTTCAGGGTCCCCCTGATTGCCCAGCCGCCCCATTGCAGCTCTCTGCTTCAGCCCCAAAGCCTGGCCCTGCTGGGCAGCCCCCCAGGCCCGTGGCCCCAGCAGTTGGCGGCTTTGTTTACTCTAGAAGGAAATAGGGGGAGCAGACAGCAAATGTGAAAAATCGGGATGGGGGTGGGGGGTAATAGGAGCCTATATAAGAAAAAGACCCAAAAATCGGGACTGTTCCTTTAAAACTGGGACATCTGGTCACCCTAGAAGGAAAAAGCCACCCAAACTGTAAGACGTTTCCCCTTTTTTTAGGTTTTTAGATAATTTTGTGTCTGAAAACCCAGTTTTGGGCTCCCCCCAGGTCAGGGAGGCCAAGGAGCTGGGGGTCGCAGTCCCCAGGCCGGCCAGCAGGGGCAGCACAGTGCCCCCAGCATTTACCGTAGAGCAGGTAGCCGCAGGTGATGGCCACGTTGAGTTTCACCAGGTAAGGGTCCCCCCTGGAAGCACAAGGAGTCAGGGGATGAGGGGCTGGCATGGGATGGGGTGGGGAGCTTAGTATTGGGGGGGAGGGTGATCACGGGGCCAGCTCCCCCCTTCAGACGCTCAGTCCCCCCCAGACCCTGGGCCCCAGATCCTCCTCGCATGCAACCCCCATGCCCGGGCACCATGCCAGCCCCCGGGCTCCGCTCCCCAATGCAAGTGGTTGTGCCCAGCCGCACCGCACAGCCCCCTCTGCCCAGCCGATGCCAGCTGCACGGGCGGCCCTGGCTCCTGGCAGCTGGGGAACAAGGGGGCCATTCTTCCCAGGCACAAAACAGCCTTTTATCACCTCTGCCACCATGTGACCTCGGGCCCACGGGACCCCCCGCTCACCCCCTCCCCGGCCCAGGGCTGGCACCTTCCAACCAGCTGTGAGAGACAGGGCTTGGGAAAGGGACCAGGGCAAATCTGCCCCCCCACCCCAATTCCGAGCAAAGGGTGCAACCAGCTACAGAATTGTGTGTGGCGGGGGGGAGAAGCCCAAGGGTGGGAGTGCAGGGGGCTGTGGGTTGGGAGTGAGGGGCACTGGGGGAGCTGTGGGGTGGGGAGCAGCGGGCTTCAGGGAGCTGTGGGGTGGGG